CATCATTTTGGTTTTCCTTTTAAAAATAATAAATGCAAGGGCTTATACGTGCTATATATGTTTTGAATATATACTCTCACTTGTTATTATATCTTCGTAAGTCAAAATTTAATTTGCATAAAAGATAATCAAAATATTTATAATTTAGATATGATTAATTTATCTTAGTTTTCTAAATCTAATAACTCAAGTATAAAATGACTTAACTCAATTTTAAATATTTCCCCTAAGATATCTTATACATGTTTTATGATCATTAAAGTAGATAAAGCATATAGTTTTCTTTCCAACGTAAATCCTTCGATAGATGTTTCTGTTTTACTGTAGCTTCGATTAGTGTGTCTTTCGCGTGTGTGTGATCGTAGCAATGCGTAGACTAGATTTCGAATCTTTTTCATTGATTGGTGTATTGTTCTAATCTAGTATGTTTGCTATGCATGCTTGTTCGGATGCTTGTGTGGTGCTTTTCGGTCTTGTCCAGTCGGTGAGTTTTGCGTTGGTGATCTATAAGAAGTTGGAGATCAAGAAGAAGAAGAAGAAAACGTTGAAGATTAAAGCTTACCGAAGGGTCGGTGTTTAAGGCAAGTATAGTTTGGGTTTTCTCTCTGTAACCATGATCTTGAAACTTGATTAATGAATATGCTATAAACATAAACAAGATGACTTTTTAGCAACGGAAGGACTTGTCTTGTAACTGATCATCCGGGATTTAACGTACAGCTGTGAGGGCTATATGGCTCTAGCTCTAGTTGCTTGGGAGACCTTTTCTAGCAGGCTTAGAGGATACTGCGAGTTGGGTATAGGACAGCCTCTGTCCTGTTGTGCCTTGCTATGGAAGCGGCCTTCTATTGGAAGGGGGGTTCCTATATCCGATGACCCTGCGGCCCTTCCCGGTTAGACGAACTTCTGAGTAGCTTTATATGATTTCCGGTGTTTGGACCTTGCAAACCCATACATTTGGAAATCATGACTCACAGTGAAAGTGTACAACCTCTGCAGAGTGTAAAACTATTATAATAGCCGTGCTCACGGATACGAGCGGCCTTGGAACACTTACATTAAGGGATAATGACTTTTACTTGTTAAGATGATCATTTATGTTAATTGTTTAAGATATTGATTATTCATGTTCATTGATCATGTGGTTATGGAATACACTACCTTGTTGTTATATTTGCTGAGTTCGACATGGACTCACCCTTGCAATTTCCCCCACACCTCAGGCTGGATATCAGTTTGCTAGAGTCTGAAGGAGTTAGGCTTGTGATCAACCAGTCAGTTTGGATCCAGTGGAGTGAAGTCTGCACCCGGAGATTAGAGTTGTCTATCCGTTGATTGCTCTCTAAGGTTATCTCTTTTGCTAAGTTCGCTATGTATATTAAGCATTATGAATTGATACTGCCCCTTCATTTGTAGCTATATGTGAGATTTGACTTCCAGGGCTCACATATGGTGTGCATCAGGTTTTGTCCTTAAAACCGGGTGTTACAAGTGGTATCAAAGCAATGCTGACTGTAGGACGCAAGCCTGGTTAGCACTGGTCGTTTCTAAAAACCTATTTTACTATAAAACTATTTCTTCACCTCCTTGACTCATTGAATTGAATATTTCCAATCCTTGTCCTATTGTCTCCTCTCCTTGATAGCATCCTTTGAGCTATACTTTCTTATCTCCTTGAGTTGTTGTTCTTGATCTCTTGCAAAACTTTCTAGTCTCACCTCTATTCAAATTACCAAAGCCCTGATAAGAAAGTTTTCCCTTAAGAATGCCTACCAAGTAGCTAGAAGGAACGATTAGCAACGAGCTTGTATTTCGTGTTTGAGTGGTTTGTTCTAATGATCATGGTTGAGTTGGATCTTTGTAATGAGTGCACTGAAGTTGTGGGATGTGCTCACAATTTCATTTATATTAAAGGTTTAAGGTATAAGGGATAAGGAAATAAATAGTCTGGGTTCTCTTTCTCTTGTTTCCTGCTTTCTGTCTTCCGGAGTAGTCTGACTTCTATGGCCTATGTCTCTAACCTTTAGGCAACCAAAAATTCTGAGAAAATTCTGGGTGAAAGTGGACTTCAAGATCTTTCTTTTCCTGAAAGAATCACCCTGATAGCTATTATGGTTGTGAAGTTATGAAAATCATAAGAGGATGTATCTGTGTTGTCAGAAATCTGGAGCAGTCTGTGGTCTTCTGGTCAGAACACAATTTTGGCTCATGCAAAGTCTATGAAATTTTTCTGGGAACAACTACACTTATGTACCTTTCATGTGCCTCTAGAATCACCCCCATAGCTAATATAGTTTGGGAGATATAAACATCACAAGCCGAAGTTTCTGTGCTGTCTGTAATCTGGGACAGTTTCTGTTGTGTGCTATTTTCGACCAACTTAACTATAGAATCTGGAGAAGTGGTCTAAAAGGAAGATGTGAAGAATTTTATAAGCTTTCCAACGGTTTAAGATGCAACTTTATTGGATAAATGGAACTCGAGATATGGATGTTTTTCTGCGCTGTTGTTTTCTATCTACAAGAAGGATCAAAATTTCTTATTCTTATCTATGTTCACAAGCTCTCTGGCATGTCAGAGGATGATAATACACCTTGAAGAAAGTTACATGATAGATGTTGGTGCCCCTATCTCATCTCTTCTTAAGGGGGGTAGCCAAGCTAAGAGTGTTGCGAGTTGTGAACTACAAGGAGTTCGGAACTACGTCAAGATTGATCTTCGAGCTAGCTATGGTTGGGAGTTTGATCTTCGCGTACCTAGGATATAGACAGTTGCAAGAATGCTCAAGACTAAGATTAACTCTTGGAAACAATTGGATTGGTTTTTATTTCTATTTAAAGCTCTTTCCTTGAAATAAAATCTTTAAAAGATGTTGGAAATGAATTAACAACCTTTTGATTCAAGAACTTTGAAAAACTTCTTCAAAAGTTGATTTGAACTAAGTTAAAAAAGGGTTGTTTGGAAAAGACCAATTGAAAAAAAAAATTGAGTTGTCTTGTTTCAAATTTTATTTGAAAGGTGTTCAAAATGCTTTCAAGATATTTTACAAAAGTTTGAAAGATTTGGTTCAAAAGTTTGCAACAATTTGCATTTGGAAACTGAGCACTTTTGGCTTTGAATTAGAATTAAGTTTGATTTCCAAAACAAAATTTGAAAATTAAAAGGTTTGAGTTGTTTACAAAAGTGTATTTCTAAAAGAAGTCTTCCAAAATGGTTTGACAGGGTTGAAAATTATTTGATTTGATATAATTCTCCAAAAGTCTTATTTCCAAAATGAACTTGAACATGTGTATTAAGTCTTATGTTTGACTTCAAAAGAAAATGAGAATTGAAAACTTACTCTCTTTATTTCTAAAGTAGTTTTGAAATAGATTTGGTTTGAATTCAGAAATCCAAAAAGAGTTCATTCAAAATGATTTGAAAATGAAGTTTGAATGTTTCATTTGTTTTCTAAAATCTTGAAAATCCCTTGTTACAAACAGATTTCAAAAGAACTTGAGTTGATTTGTCTACTCTTTATCTGAGATTTGATTATAAAGTCGAGTTTTTAAAAGAGTTTGACAAACAAAGCTTAGTATGTTTTCCTAAGTTTCCAATGATTTGAAAATGGTTGGGTTTATTTCAAAACCTTGAAAACATTTATTCAAAAGAGTTTCAAAACATGGTTGAAATATTTTCTTGAGTTTTAAACATAAAACATATTTTGAAATCTATTTCAAAAGGAGTTGAAAAAGAAATTTGTTCGGTTTTGATTTAAAGTCTTCCTTTTGAAAAGTAAAACATTTCAAAATGCATAAAAGATGAACCATAGAATTCAAAGTTCTGATTCAAGCTAAGCAAGATCTTTTGGAAGCTTAACATATGGATAATAAGATTCATTGGAACGAATTAAGAGAAGCAACAAGATCGGAGTTAGAATAAGATGGAGCAAGAATCTGCAAGAGTAGCCACGTGATGAATTATCATACAACACAAGGTGTATCAAGATGTTATTGCTCAACGAAGTGAAGCAGATCCCAAGTTGAAGTATCCCCCTCTTCTTTGTCCTTCTTCTCCGAATCTCGGGGACGAGATTCATCTTAAGGGGGGTAGAATTGTAACACCAAAAAAAAAAAAATTAGCTACTTTCTAAAAAGAGTAAAATGTTTTCTGTTAATTGTTTTGTGCTCATAAAAACATAGGTAAAAGAAAATTAAAATCCAAAATAAGGGTAACAATATGTTTGCGCATACATACCGTTGCATTGATACTTTTGTGATGAGCGGTTTGGAAAATAAATTCAAATCTCAAACTTTAAAATATTGCTTTCAAGTAGTGGTTTAAAAAGAATTTGAAAATTTGCAAAAACAAAAGTTAGAAAAGATGCCTTGTTTTTAAAATCTAAAGGCTTGGAAAAGGTTTTAAGACACGTTAGGACGATGCCTCTCTTTCCGGGAATCTTTCTGACCTTTTTCGGGATTAAATTCATATTTCTTGGAGTTTTATCTTTTTCCTTAATCAATGCAAAAGTCTTTTTCGGGAGCTAAACCACTTTGGTTGTGTTCCTTATTCTTCCATCTATCCCCAGGAATTTTTCTAGTATTTTTCGGAGCTCAGAGATATTTTTCGGAGCCTAAATAGTAATTCCCGATTTTCTGTAATTATTTTAATTCCAAAAATCAATATTTACTAAAATATCTCGGATTTCCAAAATATCCAAACCCTACGTATATATATATGCCGGCGTAGCCCTCGACGCGAGGATTACAGAAGTACAGCCCGTTTTTCGAGCCGCCACTCGTAGCCCCGCAGATCGGACGCCGAAGTTCTCCACAGCTAGGTTTCCGGCGAACCTTCGGCGAGCTTTTCCGGCCAACTCCGGTGTCCCCTGCGAATTCCGAGACCATCACGAGGTTCGTATCAATCTCCTCTACACCGTCCCGCGTTTCGTTTCACGAATCCATCACCGTTTAATCGTTCCCCTTCGGTTTTCCTTTTCCGTTGACGTTTTCCGGCGAACTTCACCATGGACGCGGTCTTCTCCTTCGTCTCCGGCTACCCGGAGTCACCACGGCACCGTCCCGCGTCCCGGCCCCGTTCCCACGCCGCCGCCCTGGCCCGTGGCCCTGCGCCGCCCTGTCCCGCGCCCCTGCTCGCGTGCGTGCACGACGACCGCCGCCACTGCCTGCTCGCTCCGACCGGCCATCACCAGCAGCCACCGCTGCTGCCGCTTGGGCGAGGAGCGGGAGCGCTGCTGCGAGCCTCCGCGGCCGGCCACAGCCCCAGCCGAGCCCCTCCCTGCCTGCACGAACACAGCAGCAGCAGGCAGCCTCTTTCCCCATGGCTGCGTACGTGAAGATGAGCAGAGGTACAAGATGAACGTATTTACAAGTTTGCCATTCCTTATTTACAGAATTTCTTGTCCTCCGCCGTAAAACCGTTTTTAGTCCGATTCGGTTTCAGTCCGTTCCAATTCATGTTAGTTTCGTGTCGTCGAGATCTACGCAGTAGAGTTATTAGTTTATATATCACATGTTTAAGAATTTATTTTATTAAAATATTAATTATGTCTATAACTAATTAATCGCTAATTAATTAAAGTCGATTTAGGTTTTTGATTTCGATTTGATTGCGCGAGTTTCATCGTAATGTGTGGTACGTGTTAGCAGCGATGTTTAACATGTCTCACGTCTTGGAAATTTATAAGTTAAATATTAATCTGATTAACCTACAACCAATTAGTTTTCTAACTTAAAAGCAATATATATATATATATATATACACTTCAGTATTTAATGTATGATATTCATATGATTAATTATTAATATAAATGTATTCCTAAATTATAGTTTGATTAGTTTAAACACACCTTGCATATATTAAACTTGTTAGATGCTCTCACATGCATTTTACTTTTGCAAAGTTAAAAGTTTGACTTGATTAATCTATACGGCAACAGTTATAAATAAAACATGATTTGTTTTAGCTCAGATTTAGGAGTATACATTGTGAACTTAAATATTGACTTGATTAAGATTAATGTGCAACTAGCTTTCTAAATTAATTAAAAGCAATATAGGTTTTCCACGTCGGCCTTAATAAATGAATATTAAGCTGGTTATATCAATTTAAATATATGTTTTTATTATAATTTGGTTAGCTGAACTCACGTCATATTCAGTTATAGTATAGATGCTCTTACATGTTCTTTTAATTTGAAACGTTAAAGTTTATTTTGATTAAATAATACATGCACATCCGCTCCTTAATACATTATTAATTATTCCATTGATAAATCCTAAACTGATGTAATGCTTACATCATTTTGGTTTTCCTTTTAAAAATAATAAATGCAAGGGCTTATACGTGCTATATATGTTTTGAATATATACTCTCACTTGTTATTATATCTTCGTAAGTCAAAATTTAATTTGCATAAAAGATAATCAAAATATTTATAATTTAGATATGGTTAATTTATCTTAGTTTTCTAAATCTAATAACTCAAGTATAAAATGACTTAACTCAATTTTAAATATTTCCCCTAAGATATCTTATACATGTTTTATGATCATTAAAGTAGATAAAGCATATAGTTTTCTTTCCAACGTAAATCCTTCGATAGATGTTTACATTTCTTTGTAGCTTCGATTAGTGTGTCTTTCGGCGTGTGTGTGATCGTAGTAATGCGTAGACTAGATTTCGAATCTTTTTCATTGATTGGTGTATTGTTCTAATCTAGTATGTTTGCTATGCATGCTTGTTCGGATGCTTGTGTGGTGCTTTTCGGTCTTGTCCAAATGGTGAGTTTTATGCTTGGTGATCTATAAGAAGTTGGAGATCAAGAAGAAGAAGAAGAAAACGTTGAAGATTAAAGCTTACCGAAGGGTCGGTGTTTAAGGCAAGTATAGTTTGGGTTTTCTCTCAGTAACCATGATCTTGAAACTTGATTAATGAATATGCTATAAACATAAACAAGATGACTTTTTAGCAACGGAAGGACTTGTCTTATAGCATCATCCGGGATTTAACGTATGTTGTGAGGGGCTATATGGCTCTAGCTCTAGTTGCTTGGGAGACCTTTTCTAGCAGGCTTAGAGGATACTCATGAGTTGGGTATAGGACAGCCTACATCTGTTGTGCCTTGCTATGGAAGCGGCCTTCTATTGGAAGGGGGTTCCTATATCCGATGACCTCGCCACTTCTTCCCTGTTAGACGAACTTCGAGTAGCTTTATATGATTTCCGGTGTTTGGACCTTGCAAACCCATACATTTGGAAATCATGACTCACAGTGAAAGTGTACAACCTCTGCAGAGTGTAAAACTATTATAATAGCCGTGCTCACGGATACGAGCGGCCTTGGAACACTTACATTAAGGGATAATGACTTTTACTTGTTAAGATGATCATTTATGTTAATTGTTTAAGATATTGATTATTCATGTTCATTGATCATGTGGTTATGGAATACACTACCTTGTTGTTATATTTGCTGAGTTCGACATGGACTCACCCTTGCAATTTCCCCCACACCTCAGGCTGGATATCAGTTTGCTAGAGTCTGAAGGAGTTAGGCTTGTGATCAACCAGTCAGTTTGGATCCAGTGGAGTGAAGTCTGCACCCGGAGATTAGAGTTGTCTATCCGTTGATTGCTCTCTAAGGTTATCTCTTTTGCTAAGTTCGCTATGTATATTAAGCATTACGAATTGATACTGCCCCTTCATTTGTAGCTATATGTGAGATTTAACTTCCAGGGCTCACATATGGTGTGCATTCGGCTTTGTCCTTAAAACCGGGTGTTACACTAACTCACATGTGCAAGATGATACAAATCAAGCTAGTACAAGTGGCTCTCATGATAATAAACAAGATCAAGTGGCTAGTGCATCATCTCAACCCAATGATCAAGCAAGTATAAGCAATCAAGTTCCAATCCTTCAACCAACCAATATTACAAAGGGATCATCCATTGGACACTATCATTGGTGATATTTCAAGAGGTGTGCAAACTAGATCAAGATTGGCTTCATTTTGTGAGCATTTCTCATTTGTGTCATCCATTGAACTAAAGAAGATAGATAAAGCATTGAAGGATGTTGATTGGGTGAATGCTATGCATGAAGAATTGAATAACTTCACAAGAAATCAAGTATGGAATTGGTAGAGAGACCAAAGGGACACATTATGATTGGAACCAAATGGGTCTTTAGAAACAAGCAAGATCAAGATGGGATAGTAGTAAGGAATAAAGCAAGATTGGTAGCACAAAGATATACACAAGTTGAAGGTCTTGACTTTGGAGAAACATATGCCCTGGTTGCTAGATTGGAAGCAATTAGAATCTTATTAGCCTATGCTTATGCCCACAACATCAAGCTCTATCAAATGGATGTTAAGAGTGCATTTCTCAATGGTTACATCAATGAAGAAGTATATGTTGAGCAACCTCCAGGTTTTGAAGATGACAAGAAGCCCGACCATGTGTACAAGTTGAAAAAAAGCATTGTATGGCTTGAAGCAAGTACCTAGAGCATGGTATGAGAGATTGAGAGACTTCCTACTCTCTAAAGGGTTCATGATGTGCAAGGTTGACACCACTCTTTTCACCAAGAAGATTGGCAAAGACTTATTTATGTTGCAAATCTATGTTGATGACATCATATTTGGATCAACCATCAAACTTTTGTGAAGAGTTTGGAAAAATGATGGCTAATGAGTTTGAAATGTCCATGATTGGAGAATTAATTTACTTCCTTGGTCTTCAAATCAAGCAATTGAAGAATGGTATATTTGTGAGTCAAGGCAAGTACATCAAAGACATGCTCAAGAAATTTGGCATCAGTGATAGCAAAGCCATTAGCACACCAATGGGGACAAATGGCAACTTAGATAGTGATGCAAGTGGAAATATGGTGGATCAAAAATTGTATCAGTCTATGATTGGAAGCCTACTCTATGTGACCGCACCAAGGCCGGATGTCATGTTTAGTGTATGCATGTGTGCAAGATTTCAAGCCTCACCAAGAGAAAGTCATTTGAAAGCTACAAAGAGAATATTGAGGTACTTGAAGCATACACAAAATATTGGTTTGTGGTATTCCAAAGGAGCAAAGTTTGAGCTAGTTGGTTACTCCGACTCGGATTATGCGGGATGCAAGATTGAAAGGAAGAGCACCACGGGCATATGTGAATTGTTGGAAAAATCACTTGTTTCATGGTCATCAAAGAGGCAAAATACTGTTGCATTATCAATCACCGAAGCCGAATACTTATCTGCTGGTAGTTATTGTGCACAAATACTTTGGATGGAGGCCACATTGAGTGACTTTGGAATCAAGTTCAAGAAAGTGCCATTGCTATGTGACAATGAGAGTGCAATCAAGTTAACCAACAATCCGGTTCAACATGCAAGAACAAAGCACATTGATGTCTGCCATCATTTCATAAGAGATCACCAACAAAAAGGGGACATTTGCATTGAGAGTGTAGGCACCGAAGATCAACTTGCCGATATATTCACCAAGCCATTAGATGAGAAAAAGTTTTGCAAGCTAAGGAATGAGTTGAACATATTGAATTTCTCAAATATGTGTTGATGCACCTCCCCACTTATATGACATGCCTCTCCTTCGAGCAATCCAAGGTAAAAGTTGATTGGCATGGCATACATCCTTGCTAAGGACATGTTTAGTGCATCTAGTCATTTTTCACATTTAATAGGATCATTCATGAAAATCAAATTATTTTGATGTTTGTTTGGTACCACTATTGCTTCTATGCTTAACTTGGTCTAGTGGTAGCATATGACATATTTATGGGCTTGTAAACCTAGTGTTTGATCTAGAAAATGAGCTATAAGTGTTTAACTCAACATAATACAAGATAACCATTATTTAAAGGTGTGAAGAAGCTTGTCCTTGGATCAAACTGAGTTAAATATCTTTGGCAAATGTTCTAGATTGAACCAAATTTCAGAAAATGATCCTCACCCCATTGATTGACATTGATAATCTCAACCTATTAAAATTAAACCTTTGTGGTTATTGATGACAAAGGGGGAGAGATAGTGTACAAAGATAATACAAAGATAGTGAGAAGATAACAAAGGGGGAGAGATATAGGGGGAGAGATATGACAAAGTAAGGGATCAATTAAAATGTTGAGCACACAAGTAGGGGGAGCAAGCTCATAAACTTGGTGGATGCATTTGAATGTGCATTTCATATGTTTGCTTGCATGGCACAAGTTTTAAATCTCAATATCCATGCTTGTGTGGTCTATGCTAGTTGTAGGTTTGAATGATAAAATGAAAAACTAGCATGCATAAGTTAAGTAACTA